CATTCAGGCACCTCATACCACTGCTGCTTCTGCACCATCACCAGGAACTGCACAGCTACACACTGAACTGGTCTCCTCATCAAATCCAAGTTCAAGTTCACCAACCAACAATAAAGGAGAAAACCACACTGTAGCACTAACTGTGCACAGATCCCACAGAAATGCTTTGGCAGCAACACACAAACAAAAGGAGTAACAGACTGCATCTAAATGGTACAAGGAGCTTCCATAACAGAAAAAAAAAAGAAGGTGCCTCCACCATTCCCTTTATATAAGAGAAGTTGATCCTGGAGAATACAAAGAAAGTATTAATAACCCAGAAATGTAAATGTTTAATTTACATCTCACTTATAAACCGAGGCATAAATAAGAAAGTATCAATAGTACAACTCATCAATGTGTAACACCTTAGTAATATACTTTTCACAGAGAAAATAATGCATTTGTACACATTATAACAAGTCAAACAACTTTAAAAACTGCACCAGGCAATTAACAAACTGTAGTGTTAATGGACACTGCTCTTTACGTGTGCTGTCTCTCTGCTTCAACTGAAGGATTTTAATCTAATCTAATTTTAAAGCTAAATTGCTTTAAAATTCTTAAAAGCAAACATTTAACTTCTCAGTTTGTTGAAAATGCAGAACACCAAACAAGAATGAACTCACTAGCTGACTACAAGAGAGGGATAATTTTGCTCTCCACTAACAATTCAGTACCTCAAGCTTGCAGCATCAGTTTCACTGAGATATCACCCACTTCAAGATTTAATTAAGAAAGATAAGAGAAGAGAGAGTGACTATTTTAAACATTGAATTTTTTTTCAGCACCAGATAGGAGAAAGCCTGGATAAAGTCAGCCTTTCAAAGACATACTCATACTTTGAAAAACATCAAGAAGATGAAACCTGATCTTGATGGGATCAGACAGACAGGGACTACCTCATCAAATAATAGAGCCAATTATAATTCCTTTCATACTGCTAGCTTCCAGAACAACAGTGACTTACGTGTTTATGTATCGTCTAGTTAATTTTACAGTTTTCTTTTATCAAAACCGAAGTATATTCTACTGCATCTCTGTTGGCTTCTGTCCAAAACTGCTGTATAAAGATACCCCGATTTCTGTGAGTCATGGAATGCAATTTGCAAGAAAGCAGGATATTTAATGAAGCAAATAGTGGGAAAAAGGATGGGAAATACCACCCAAAGATATTTCAGTACAGGAGTCACCTCCCTGAGATACGCACCTATAGCTGCATGAAAGTGAGACAAAGCATCTGCCAGCTGTCCAGCAGCCAATAATTTCTTCCCCATTTCAAGTTGTTTGTCCACTTCTGCATTTATTCCACACTCAGCTCCTTAAAGAAAAACAAAAAGATCAAGGTTCTGAATGATCAGTTTGATTACAGCAAACACATACAGTGATAATACATGTAACACACCATTATTGATAGAGGCAGAAGTCACATCTTCTTGCACTTCAAGCAATCTCAGAGGTCTTTTCCAACCTAAGGGATTCTGAGATTCTGTAAAGCACCCTGCAGCTTAATAACCTCATAGCGTGTCCTCATTAGGGTGTGTCAAAGTATACAAGGCACTGCTTTGCACCCCACTGTGACAAGGCACCCAATACATATCCACTCATTCAGTAACATACTTTGACTTTCAATTTCAGAAGAATCTGGAAAGCGCTCATAACACCCACATCCAGCAAACACACAAAGGCTGTAAGTTACATTTCATGACCCTGATGGTAACTTAATACTTAACTGAGAACTCTTTGGCTACTTAGAGATTGGCTTCTCATCTACTGCACTTTTGTCCCATCTTCATAACTTCCAGGGCAAACTTCTACAGCACTGCAAGTTTTGACAAATAATTAAAATTCTCACTCTTCTTCACTTTAAACAGTAGCACAAAACCCTACTGAAGTAGTAAGTCTTTGAAGTGCCAGTTTGAGTTTAAAGCTAATAAATTGCTGCTGCTCAGCCAACAGATAAAGACTACTGTTGAGAAGAAATGAGCAGTACATGAGCAAGTACATGCTGTATGCACATCAACAGCTTTGCCCTGCTTCCTGCAATCTTCAGATCAGGGCAGAATTTCACTACAAATTACCCATCAGTTTATGACTATTAAGAAACTTTTAGCCTAGAAAAATTTTCATTTATTAAGAGGATACCCTGTTGCCTACATTTAAGCAAGGTAATATATTGAAGTCCTGAATAAGCCCATCACATTAAAATCCAATGATTTATAACTTATTTCACTCAGGTTTTGCACTGAGCTGATTCAGATAGGCATTCTAAATACAAAAATGCAGCAGCACTTCAAAGTTGTTTCTTAGAATACATATAAAAATGTTGCAGTACCACTGATTGAAGGAAAGTATATCCAAACTTCTCACACTGAAAGGTGGTTAAACAACAACGCATTTGTAATGAATGAACAAACAGTAATTTCTTATCAACAAATCAAGATTTTAAACATAGGAGCTCTCAACACCTGGGATCGTAATTTTATATTTCTGTTCTACTCCATTATAAAGCTCATAATTCTTTTAATCCCACATTATAAGAAAATCCTTGAGCTGTCTATATGAAAATGAACAAAATCCCCTCTGCATCCACTAGAGAAAGTTCTATCTACTAAAAGACAGACAGTAATTCCGCAAGCTGGATTCAAGGGCTTCAACTCAATTATTTGTTCTAGAACAATGACAGAAAACATCTTTTTTTGGAAAGATACTTTATGAAGTCCCAAATTTCCAATGAGTATCTTTTGTTTAAGTAGATAGAGTTAAAATAGCCTACAGGATAAATAATTATTATTTGAGGATCTTACTAAATGATTCATTTGAAAGTCAATTCTAGGTATGTAAAAAATTTATTCCCATTTTATGTGCATGTCCAGTCTGCAGCAAAAAAATACATTCTTTCTTGCTCATTTCCCATTTTGCTTTGCTAGCTTAAAGCTTCAATCATCAAGTAGTATAGCATCCTTTAAAACACATTAAAAACACAACGAAAAAATTCAGAACTAGAAGAAAACCTCACCACAAATTTCCCTGGCTTTGGAAGTATGCTAGCAGTAAAGCAGGTATCAAACTATAAACAGACTGAAGTATTTAACATGACCTAATACCAACTAAAAACTCTTGAATTTTCATCCTTCCCATGTTTCCCCACACAAATACCTGAAATCTTTCAAAACTTGTTAGTTGGGAGTGGTATCCTAGAACTGGGCTATAAATTACTCTTTGAAGAACTTTTCATTTACCCAAATAAGGCATTCAATTCCCAGTCTCAAGCATCCTTGTTTTACATTCAGTCACATCAGGATATCTCCACGAATATATTTTTCCACAGTAAGATGTACCTATACAATTTGGTATCTTTCTAACATTGTGTTCAGTACAGTTTTACAGTTATATACTTTAGGTGGAAGAGACATCTTTTTCCTTGAAAATAATGAAGACAATAAAACAAATAAGAAAGATGCCCACTGATAGCAAAGTAATAAAAGCAGGAGCAACATGGATAAATAAAGAAGCAAATCGTGAAGTCTTGTAGATTCCCTGTAGAATGAGACTAATTATATTTGACATACATTAAACCTCAACTCTGCAAGTTGCTGAACGTTATAATTTGATGCATGAAACTCCAGGAGCAGCCTGCATCATCAGCCTAACCATGATGACAAGTGACATTTACCGTAACTACTCAGGAACACTCTGCACTGACCAGATAGCTGGGCTGTTTATTCACAGAGATCTATGGCTTATTCATTTCTTGTCTGTAGGCAAACAATTGCTCTAAATAAAGCAGTCCACAGTAGACATCTGAAAACTGAAAATAAGCACAGGAGTCCAAGGACTCAAATTCTCTGCAACCTATTTGGGTACATACCTATGTACCCAAATTCCCAGACCTACTTTGGTCTGGGAATGATTCTAAGAACTAAAGCTCAGCTGGAGCAAAACAACCACCAAACCCCATTCCACAGAGCTCTTTCCAACAGATACATATTGGTGTGCTGGATACCATAGGCTCAGTTGGAGAAGCTCTGTGTGCTCCACCAAGAAACTAAATTTACACAAGAGACATGCAGGCTTACAATTTATTTTTTAAAACTTCCATGTATTTTAATTTGAATACTTTCTGAAGACTACCTAAATGTTAAGTATACAAGGACCTCAAACAACCACCCACATGAGCTCCAGCTGCTAAATCAAGTCAAATACTCTGGATAAATTCAGAGCCTGTAGTCCTTACAGTGGGGCAAGTCTAAGTAGCAAAAAAGAAAACCAAACCAACACAAAAAAACCCCAAACAAACACAAACCCGCAAACTATTCCAAGGTAATTGGTACTAGCCCTGACAACTCAAAGGGTAACAATCAGAAGTTACAGGGAAGACAAGCAGGTGCAGCTAACCTGTTTTTCCAGTTAAATACATTCACTTTAAGTAATTATAACTTCATGGTAGGATTTTTGTTTTATTATTTTTATTTATTATTTTAATAATTGGTGCTAAAATGTAGGCACTTAAGTCTACAGACTTCAACTATATCCTTGCATAATCTGTCCCATCCACACTGCAAAGAACTCAAGAAAGCTCTGTAACTTGAGAACAGTTTCAAGACGTTACATTTCTCTACATACTCCTTTTCTCCCCCCTGTAGAATTTCCACACACTTTCTTCTAAATTTTATTCCCAAGTGGAGTAACAAGACTATGAAAATAAACAGAATTAGTTCCTATTGTGTACCAAAACCAGTTGTTTAAACAACAAAAAAGAAGCATGCATGTCAATAATCTTAATTACGTTCATCTAATCATTTTTTTTTTCCACCACAGAGGAGCTGAATGATTGCCTTATCTTGTCAGGAGAGTGGGAGATCCTGCTTTTGCAACACATTTTATCAGAATGACCCTGAATCTTAAGTTTGCTGTTATTTTTAAACAGTTTGGTCTTTGCTTTAGGTGTATTTGCTAACATGATTTTCAAAAACTGCACTGAACCAAGTAATGTGCGGACAAGCACCGACAGTTTCAGAAGCAACGCTCCTGAGGTTTACAAGAAGCCTCAGAGTATCTAGGTGATCCATGTGTAACTTTCATTCCTCAACTTTTTACTCACTTCCTTTGCAAAGGAACCTGGTAAATACAGTAAAGACTAACAGACAAAAAAAGCCCCTCCCCCAAGTAGGCTTTGTTAGTTGGGGCCAAAAAAGAAAGAAACCAAACAAGCTCCCAAACTTAGGGCAAAAACAAAAGGTGGGGGGAAGAAAAGAAACACGTAAAGCCTGTGCTCTGACAGTAACCAACTGAGCTCTGTATATTCAGAGCCCATTTATTCTTCCCCATATTACATTTCCTTTCTTCTGCTAAGAGAAGGAAGAGGGGAAATGAACAACACTCCTTTATTCCTCCTCTTTTTGTTGTGATTAGTGTGGACAAACTGCAATGAAGAATGAGTCTTCCCAAGAGAGTATCTGTTCCAAACTCATAACAAATTTGGATGAAGAGGAGGAATCAAAAACGTTTTTACCAGCCAGATATTAATAGTATTCATTGACATTAACTGTATGATACAAAGTTAATACAGAATGACTCTTCCACAGATTCGTGAATCAGATGACACAAGGCAGACTTCTATTATCAAGATTCAAATTTAAGTATGACTATAACCACCTCTGAGCTCAAACACCAGTAATATTTGTGGGGGGAAAAAATCAAGATACTTAACATACTCCCCACAAATATTCTGTAACTACACATTCTGAAAAATTAACTCATGAACTAAGATGTTAGTGAACTCAGTAAATAAGATCCAGTATTACCACTTGGCATTCTATTACTGTACTCTACATCTTTATTAACTGAAGTTAAGAAAACATCCCCCTAATTAGGAAATAATGGTATGCCCAAATAGCCATTAAACCACATACTTGAAATAGGTTGGCAGCTCCAAATAAAGAATCCTCAGCAGGAGCACCACTGCCACAACCTCAGGGGAAAAAAAACAAACCAACAGCATACTCTGACAAAAGTTATGATTTGTCTTCTAACACTACTAGAACACATATTTTAAAAAAAGTCATTTGACAGTATGTGGTCTAATGCAGGGTGTTTTTGCCACAGTATATTCCTGTTGCCACCTGGCCAGCTGAACTAGACTCTAATTTAGTGTACCAACTGATTTTTTAATGTTAACCTGAATCTTCCGTAAGCCCATAGACTTTTTCTGACTAATGACAGCTTCAGTTCCACTTCCATCTGCCACTGACAAGTAAATCACGTCCCTCAGGTCAAACCCTGACTGTAACCACCATTCTATAACAGAGTTAGAAATTTAACAGAAGCCTGTGAATAGAAGTCTGGCTACACAGGTGTTGCTGGCAGCGTACTGTGAAAGTAAACAAGCTGCTCAAAGCGCAGATAAGCTGAACTGCTAATGGTGAGTGGCGAAAAAAAAACCAAAAAAAAATAAAACAATAGAAACCATAACAACAAAACAAAAACAGAACAAATTCAACGCAACCATCAAAAGCCAATCTCTAAGTGTGACACTAATACTGGCTGCGGCTGAGAAGGGCAACTGGAGAAGCCTTTGAACTTCGGAACTACACGAAATCCACATGGGAGTGAGAAATTCACGGCTAGCACAGAACGGCCAACGCTGTCACACAGCTGCACTCGAGGGCTCCATGGCAAACGAGGCCTCACAGTGGTTGGCGGCAGCCTCAGCCCGTCCGTGAGCAGGCCGGGGAGCGCGAAGCGCACACACAGCGAGCCACCTCCAACCACACCGCCAGGAACTCCGACTAACCCCAACAGGTCACCGGCAGAGGCCGTGCCCTCATTACGCACCCTTCGCCACAGCCCCAAGTGACGAGGTGGCAGCGCTGCACCTCCTTCTTCACACCCTTTCCCGAAATATCCCCCCCATCCCGGCTCAAGACGACACGGGCCGGGGGAGGCGGGGGGGTGTGGGGTGTGTGCCCCGCCGCCACGGTGGACACCGCGCAGCCCCGACAGGAGGGACGAGAGAAGGCGACCAGCCACCACGGCAGAGGGCCCA